GAAGTTTTATTCTGGAAAAGTTTTATGTAACTTAAATTGTTATGAAGTGAGATACATGAATCATATTATATTAGAATGGAATAAATACATTTTCTATAAAAATGAAAAGGCTCTTTGAAATAGGAATATCTCCTAAGGTTTTTATAAGCTCATATTAAATAAGTATTTAGCCTACTTAAACTGAGGGTTAGCTGCACTTAGAGAAAACGACCTGACAAAGTGTAAAAAATAAGACAAGAGGAGCAAGACATAATCCAACCTATTAAGCTGAAGTTTAGATTGATTTTCTTCAAGATACAAAGGCATCCCGAAAAGATCATGGAACTTCTAGGAAAAAGGAAGAAGCCTCTTTGGGTCCAGACTCTCAAGCTTACATTTAATGTGATGAGTGCGTTTTCCAGGTTGTGCCAGATGGAAAGAGGAGGTCTGAGAGATGAGACATTGTTCAGACAAAATTTCATTTTTCCTAGCATCCACATGACAAGTGCAGGCTTCTTCCCAGCACTGGAGAAGTTGGTATTTCATTTTTTGGAGTGATAAAGTCTGTTTCAAGGAAGGTGGACATTATCGCACATATTATTTAACTGGGGGGCAGCCAGGCTCATCAATGGCTCTGATGACTTAATACAAGCACCGAAGCAGCTTAATACAAACTCTTCGAGCTGGCAATTAGGAAACGCTCTATAGAACTGTGGCATGAAAACAGTGATGCTGGTGCTGCAATCTAAGTCTAAATGATGCAACAGGTTGTCATGTAATGTGCAGAGATTTAGAAGACATGGAATTATCTTTTGGGAGAAATTGTGAAAAAGAAAATTTTTATTTCAGATATGTTTTATCATGAAATTCTTTAAATTAAAATGAAAGGTTAGGGATTAGCATTTGGTACAGTAATTAAGACACCACCAGAGATGCTTGTGTCCTGTATTGGAGTTCCTCATTTGAGTCCCAGCATGGCTTTTGATCCAGCCTCTTGCTAATGCTCACTCTAGGAAGCCAGCACATGATGGTTCTCAAGTACTTGGGGCTGTGTTACCCACATGGGAGATCAAGAATGGCTTATTGGGCCCGGTGGCGTGGCCTAGCGGCTAAAGTCCTCACCTTGCACATGCCGGGATCCCATATGGGCACTGGTTCTAATCCCAGCAGCTCCACTTCCCATCCAGCTCCCTGCTTGTGGCCTGAGAAAGCAGTGGAGGACGGCCCAAAGCTTTGGGACCCTGCACCCGTGTGGGAGACCTGGAGGAAGTTCCTGGTTCCTGGCTTCGGATTGGCATAGCATCGGCCGTTGTGCTCACTTGGGGAGTGAATCATTGGACAGAAGATCTTCCTCTCTGTCTCTCCTCCTCTCTGTATATCCGACTTTGCAATAAATACATAAATCTTTTTTTTTTTTTTTAAAGAATGGGTTATTGGCTCCTGGCCTTGGTATGGCTCAGCTCTGGCTCTAGCAGGGAACTGGGGAATCAACTAACAAAGGGAACATCTCAGTCTATCTCTCTACCTCTCCAGGGATAGTAGATAAGCAAAAAAATTAAAGCACAGCTCAAATATATATTAAAGATATATTTTCCTTATGTTCCTAAGGTAATGATACTATTACTTATAGACGCTCCACTTATTCAGGATAGGAACAATTACTTTGAAGCAGGGAATTCCCACAGAATTATTTGTTAGAACTTTACAGCACCTCAAAACAATAGTAAAACCAGTCCACTGTGTAATTACCATCCACAAAATCTTGGATTGAGATAATTTTAAACTCCCACAAGCCTATCTACTTGATGCAATCAAATTCTCCACTACACTACTATTGAACTCAAACTAATCTCATTGCTGGAATGATAGAGAATACATTAATTCGACCCATCAATTAAATTAGGGGTTAGGATATTACAATAGAATCTTGAGGAATTTGCTTTGGGACAGGAGACTAGACCATGAAATGGTGTTGGAAGTGTTCTCTGAAATTAGATGAGAATTGAGTTGAGTAACTAAGATGTGGGAGACTTTCAAAATTACACAACAAAATAATATTGGCTGCAGTTTGACTTGGAAGTAAATAATTACCAATGACATCACTATAAAATTGTTTAGTTATCCTGGGGTACTTTAAGAAAGCACACTGAGTGGGAAGACACAACTCTAGATAGAGCAATCAGTCAAGCAGGCTGACTTCCTACCTAAAGGCAAGAAACAGCAGATGTTTTCCTAGCATTCATTGGTAATAAGCAATGCTGTGACATTCCCCTTGAAAGTGTTATGTCCAACACGCTCTTACACAGAACCATAATAAATTGTCATCTCCAAATTAGCCATTTGTTTATTTATTTTTACCAATATGTTTCCTTTTTCCTTTTCTTGGAACTAAATGCAGTAACTAGGTATCCTTGTAGAATGAGTCCTATCAAGCCCAGGATTCTTTTAATCACATTCAAGTGCCATTTGGAAGCACTTCATCTCTGACAATGTGCAGTGTGCATGAGTGTTTTCAGCTTGA